AAGAATCAGCCAAGCTCGGTTGATTCAAAATAGCTATTCCCAGAGCGCCTTGCATATAGGTAGGTCTCTCGATACGCAATGCCTTCGGCTCTTCAGGAATCACGTTTCGCGAGTTGCCAGCATTTTGGTTCGTTTTGAGGGAAAGCTCATCTATGTGAATAAATACAACGATCTCGCAAACTCTTACGCCACTATTTCGCGACAGTTTCAATCAATTCGATGCATATTCATCTAACGAGGAATAAAACAAATGCTTTACGAGAAACGATTGAAATTACACCCGACAAATACTGATAGCAGTTTTAAAATATTTTCTATTTACGGGTTGACTTTTCTTACAACTCTCTTAGAGCAAACCCTATTGCTGGAGACCAAGAAATTGTACTACGTAATGGTCCCTGCATTGGAGCTGTAAGTACAAGATTCAGAAAAAAAAACAAGTATCCGCTTTAAAGACCTACTTGGAAATGCGCAATACAAACCATTCAAGTGCGTTTTAGAATCAATTCAAACATTTTTTATGAGCTCAATGTGATTTTCATTTCGAAATAACGATCAAATAATGTGATTCCACCATTTCCCCCCTTATTCTAAAGAGAACCATTCACTATAACCAATAAGATCGCTACGTTTTCCCTTTGCCTTCTTTGTCCATAGCTTTGTGGATTAATCCCAATAATCAGCTCTTAAGGGCTGGACAGTGGATAAATTCTCCCTAATCACCCCCATATCATTCCCAAAACGGCACATGATTTTTTTCGAGAGGCGGTGTTCCATAAGAAAGGAGGGAGGGCCTCTGTTTCTTTGACCCACACCCCCTTTCCGCCTCGTGTAATGCACTTAAACGTCCAACTCACCCTCCTCCTCGGAAGTGCGTCACGTATTGCTTGAATGGCCTCTCCATCCGGTAGTTCATAATTTTGTTTGCTTTACTGCGGAAGAGGAGAAGAATTATTATCGAGGGCTCATATTGTCGTTTCAAATTTGCTCCTAATTTTTCTCGAGCCTCGTTCTCTCTTAAATTCCTAAAATTATTCTCGCGTAACCTTTCTCTTGAGTTACAGACAATCCCACGCCGCTAGCCCCCCCCCCCCCCCCCCNCGGATTGATTTTTTTATGCTCAGTTTTTAGACACTCACCGCGCTCCTCGGCAGAGGCGGATCCAGCAATTTGGCAACACTGGATTTCCTCCAGTTAAACTCATGCTAAATAATCGATTCTTGACGGAGCACCTGGCCCCTCCAAGAATCGATACATTTCCATAGGTTTAAATGGAGGAAATCCGGCGTTGCCAAATTGCTAGATCCGCCAATGCTCCTCGGCATCGGATGATTCTCATTTTGAAGGTGTCTTTTTTTCATTTAAGGAATCTTTACTTGGCAACTTTTAATTTTTTATTTATTCCCTTTTGTCATCAATTTTTGGATTCATTCATTATATACCAACGTTACTTTACATTTATTTGTTCAAGTATGGTTTTTCGAACAGTGGCGAGGCGTGGATGAGCGATAATCGATATTTTCCCATTTGAAACTGTAATGGCAAAGCATCGATAATAAAGGCGTTCGAAGGAAGCGCCCTATCCATCGATCCTTTTCAATAGGTTTAAAGGGCAGGTAAATCGATACATCGCAAAGCACTCCACGCCACTATTTTCGATCTTGTTTTCCCCCTGAGGAAGATTAAATTTAAAGATTACCTCAAAATTTAACATGTACGAAATACGACTATTTTGCTTCCAAATGACTCACATTGCATAACCTCCATATTGAAGGGAAACTAAGTTTTCCTTGGTATACATTTTATTCACGTACATTTGTAGCGACATCCAAAAGTATTTATGCATGATACAACTATTCCAACTTCTTGGTGGCTGAAATGACATAGCCTCCGGATTGAAGGAAAACTCAGCTTCTACGGCGTATACCAAACACTCAAATTGTATTGCTTCATCTGAGGGTGCATAATGAGTTGAAGTCGCAGTATCTTTCATAATTTTGTTTCTAATATGCAACATGCAAAAAAATAGATTTCAAAGTTAGACAGTTTGCTACATCGCGAAGTGATCCGGTGGCATTTCTCATTCAAATACATGCATATTGCATATATCCATATTTCCTCCAATAATTGTCCAATTTAGAAACCAAGGGCATCCTCATGATCAATTGGACGTATTTATGCTAAATAGAACTATATGCAAGTGCAAAGATGAGGTGTGCTCGTTAGTGCTCGGGCCATAAGAATAAATGGGACTTTAAAAGCGCCAGTGACGTCGGCGGCAACGATCGGGACCGGGCGGGACGAGGAGATCGGTGGTGGGACTCAGTAACTCATGAGCCCTGTCCACAAGGCTTTGGTCGCATTTCCACGGCTCGCGAGTTAGTGCTCAGTTCCTTTTGATTTAATTGAAAATCCCGCTTTTCCATTTTCTCAAAAGGAACAATATCCAATTTTACACTGTCTCTTATGCAGTTTCCACAAGCACACCCCATCTTTCCACTTCCACATAGTGTCTTTTAGCATGAACACGTCCAGTTCTCCTAGTCGTTTCATTTTGAACATGAAATTCACAAAATCTCAGACGCCTGCAAATCCTCCATTACTCGCCCGTCTACATTAAACAGCAAAGCGGTCAGGGGGCGTAGCCCCCTGATATCATTATAAAACGATGAATCATCACGCATGTCGCCTAACCTCGTCCAACGTCAGAAAAGAAATGTTGACTCGAGAGCGCCAAAGACGGACGTGCGAAACAGATATCCCAGAGCGCAGATCCGAAAAAGAAGGACTTTCCTTTCATCGCTTCTGGCGTTGCAGGAGAGGGGGGTGGGGAGGCGTCGAAACGTAATGCACGTTGTTATACAGGCGAGGAGTAATAGAAACCCTCGAAACTATTCTAAGACTCCCTCATTTTTTTTCTCGGCGACTCCCTACCCCCCCCCCNGCCTGTTCTTCCTCCCTTCCCTTCGATACAATGCGCATAACTATGTGTCCCTCTTTGTTATCCGTCGGAATTTGCATCGGATGCGGGGAGATAAGAGTGGAGACTCCTACGCCGTATAAATAATAAGTATCGGGGGACGGGGGGACGAGGAAGAAGGGGGCGGGGGAAATAAAGAAGGGGGGAGGGGGGACGTGGCCGCTATTTTTATCCGTTCGGGACTCGCTTGACGCGGCGCTAGTCCTGATGGACGGATGACAAGAGCCTGCATTTTTAAGGGGACCTCGGATGAGACGGGGCTCGCATTGGAAAACACTGAGCCTCACTTGGACTGCATTTCGCAATTTGGAACTACAGTCTCTGACTTATCCATAAAAACACTTACGCACATAGGGAAACTAATGGTGCATACGTTATTTGTAAACTGAACCGGAAAGTGTGGTTCCGAATTGCAAAATGAAGTCCACTTGACAGTCTCGTGCATCCGATGGGGGCAAATTTCTCCGAGTGGATTCCCGATTCAAATTTTCCCGAAAACCCGATTCGACAGAGCTGACAACGGAAAGAACCCGTGAAAGGTCAAGAATTAAACTCTGCCGTTTGATGACTAGCGGCTGTCATTCCCATTTCTCGATCTATCTCGAGAGCTGGGTCAAGAATTTTGCAAGTGGTCGATGTTAGAGTCCTTTCATACCGAGCGTAAAGGAAATACGATTCCCTTGCTGATTGGTTCCCGTATTTTAGGCCTTCACAGTGTCACAAACGGGAATGAAGATTACATTTTCACCGGCGCTGGGCCTGGATTTTTTCATGCGCTGGTGTGTGGCGCCACACTCGAAAGTTTATCAAAGTTGATTGGGCAGTTTTTTTACGAAAGTCGAAGATGAGCGGAAAGTCAACTATAAGCTTAACTTTGTGGCAGGTTTCCCCAACAAATAAGCGGTTTTAAACTTACCTAAGAGAAATTTGAGGATTTTCCTGGAGTGTGGCGCCACACTCTGTGGCGCTGGGCCCGGATTTTACCCGAGATCCGAGCGTGGCGCCAGGATCACCGTAGCTTAGTAACGGTGGTTGGCAGTGAGTTAAAAAAAAAAAAAAAAAAAAAAAAAAAAAAAAGAGTCTAATAATTTTCCTAAGACACTATGTTGTAGAGAACTCGCACTAAAAATCTATGGAATGAAATGGGTAGGGCAAAAGTCAAGTTCATCAGAGGTCAAGCAAAGTTTTTGCCGCAAAAACTTCAGTGTCACGATAACAGCGGTGAGATTCAGTGTGTTTCTTTTTAATTTTCCATTTTTGGCCGGTTGAAAATGCGGTTGTGACACCGCGACACGTCCCGGGTTTTTTACTTTATGTTAATATTCTTGCGGCTTTATTCTTAGTCCAATTTTACGTTGATTTTGCGTTTTTTCCGAATGATGATTGATGTGCAACTTGCTAAGCTCAGAATTCGCCTAAGGATAACTGATGAATGGGTAGGCTCTTTTCTGGACGATGAGCTTTCGTAATTCAGATGAGGTTTTCTGAGCGTACTACTCAAGTCTTTGGTTAGCAATTATCATTAGGCGAATCTTGGAGTTGATCTCCGAAAATAACTTTTACGCTACACGATGTATAACGTGCCTTAATGCAAATTTGTAGTGTAATCATCAGTATTATGAGTGCTCTGTGGTATTTGACACTCCAGATTCTTCCTTTTTGATATAGTTACACGCGACCAGAGCCAATATATTTTACTCGCTTTTATCTCGCACATGGAGTAAAAGTAATAGACGGGTGTCGACACTAAGGGCCCATATTTCGTTGGTCAGTAGAGCCAAGACTTCAAGCTACCTAAAAGTTAAGCGTTGAGCTTTTTGATTGGCTGAGTCCGACGAATTGGACGTATTTCTATCAAACGGAACTATGTGCATTCAGACATGAGCCCTGAGACCCATAAGAATCCATGCATAACAGGGCTACCATCATAATGCACATAGTTCCGTTTGACAGAAATACGTCCAATTGATTTTACATTCACTCGGTTTGCGATAGATATTAAGACTAGTGAAGCACTCACCTGCTTAGCGTCAGATACGAGAAGGACGTATTTAATATCACTGGATACATAAAATTCCGCAGCGTTTAACTGCCTCTGAAACAAACAAGAAAGCATGATCATGAATTTTGAACTAGGAGAAAAAATGAAAAAAACTGCAATTTTTGATGGCTAGGAAAATTCATTCTTGCCTGACGGCTGATAGTTGAATTATACGTTGAGACACTAAGACATCAAAAAAGGCACATTACATGATGCACATAGATCTGCATTGGTACGACCAGGAATTTTTCTTAAAAAGGGAGGAAGGAGGGTTTTTGGTCCAAAATTTTCCACAAAGGAGATTTTCAGGGAAAAAATCCTGAAAATCACGAAAAATGACTTCCCTGGTTGACAAATGTTCCTTATTCTGCAGACAGTCAAACAGATGTTTTGCACAAGTTTCCAGCAAAAAAAGACTTCCGATTGTCGATATCTGAAAGTGGTGAGATGACTTTTTCGAGGTCTCAAAACATATTGCTCTACATTCTTCATCGGAATGCAAACAAGTTAATACTGAAAATGCGCGTTTTACAAGAAATCAATTAAGATCTGAGATTCCGTCTCACAAGGAAACGAGCTTTAATATTCTTAAATGAGTAACCATTCGATTCCAATTTTCAGGCAAACTCAAGTTTATATGACATTTAACTTCAGAAGAACAGAAATTCAACCCGTTAGCTCACGGTCGATGATTGAGGGAACAGGCATAATAGTGAATAAAACTTTGAGGATTAAGAGTCTCGGTTCTTAAAATAATTAATTTAGCTCCATTTTGTCCCTCCAGCTCCATTTCAATACCACTTTACTATCAAACTTTAAAAAAGATAAACGACAAACACTCCATCGCCTGCTTAGAATCCCGAGTGACAAATCAAAACTTTTTCGATTGTTAGAGATTGTAAAAGTTTCCTTAATTGCTGCCTCCCTCAGTACTTAACTGTATATTTACCGTGGACAGTGGATGATAAATTCAACGATAAATTTTTCTCTCTAAGCTCAGCTTTGAATACTTCTCTCTTATTTCTGAGGATGCCGCTGAGACATTGATTTTGACGATGAATTTCGTGTGGATGAAGCTGAGTTTTTAATTATTACATGCAATGAATTTCTTAAGGAAAGTTTTTTACATCTTCAAAGCTGCACTGCCATACTGAGGGAAAGCGTCGTATGAACTTTCGGTTGTTGCCAAGTATTCGTCGATAAAAAAATTACTTTCCTGAGAAATTTGTAGATATTTTTCTTCCAATTTTTCAGAGAATTTTGTTCACAACTTACTATATATTTGTATTTTCTCACTTTAGTATACAGTTAGAACAATTTGACAATGCTACAGGTCAAGATAGATTATTACACAGTACATCACATTACATACACCGTGTATGACTTTTTACTGATATAAAATTTCAGTTCAGCACTAATCTTCAAGGAATTCATTTAGGCTATAAAAAGCCTTTTCAATTAAGAATTTCCTAAGGTAACATAAAAATGCTGTAAAGTTTGAGTTTTTTAAATAAGGTTTAATCAAAGCTGAAGTACCTTTCAATTTCAAGGATAAGTATTCATAATTTTTCTCAACATTTAATATTTTATCGAGAGAAAATTTGGCAAAATTTGGAGGATCTTATAGTGTTTTCCTTTGGCTCGACAGTGGAACTATGAGCGTAATGATGTGGACCTTTTCTCACTCAATTATACTGCATAAATTCTAAGTGCGCAGCAGTGACATGGCGTGCTTTGCGATATATTGATTGATCTTTCATCTAAACCTATAGAAAAGGATCAATATACAGTGTGTTCGCACGGAACAACTTATAGTAATCGATTTTTCATCACAGCCTCAGGGGAAATATGCATAATCGATCATTCTCGCCGCGCCACTGGTGCACAGGGTCTCTAAAAAGTATCGCCGCTGAGCATACTGCAGTTACATAGTTAGCTCGAACACTGTTTTAAACGTCGGAGTCACTCAGCCGTGAGCCTAGAGGCGCTGAAATACGATCGAAAGAAATGGGGCGATTTAAAAGCAGTTCGATAGAGAAACACTGAAAAGCTTCTGGATTTGGAGGGATACAAATAACCCGTGGAAGAACAACGGGGGTAAAACAAAGCGGGAGAGCATGCAGCACGTCGCGTCGGGCTGAAAGAGGAGGAACAACACAAGAAAACCTCACTTTTATGGCCGCAACTGAAACTACTTAAGACTCGCAAAGGGCACAAATACAGATTGCAGGAAAGCTGCTTCTTCTTTTGGCCCTGCATTGACTCCTCCCGGCCTTCGGCGTGTTTTCGTTACCTACTCTGCCGTCCTAAGGAAAACGCCGTATGAACATTCGAGAGTTGCCACGTTTGCCGAAGATAAAGAGTTTAATTTTTGAGGAAAGTTATGAACTTCAGGTGGACTACATTTTGCAATTTAGACCTATAGATTCTAGCCAGGTTTAAAAGCAACGTATGTGCCATTAGTTTCCCTATGCACATAAGTGTTTTTCCAGGAGAGCCAGAATTTATAGTTCTAAATTGCAAAATGCGGTCCAATTATCCTTTCTTTTAAGTATGTTATCTAATATTTTTTGCACAAATGCAGCATCGAAGATGTTTTAATACGAGTAAATTTGAAAACAAGCTAATGAAAATTATAGAATTCGGGATTGCAGGGGCAATGTCTATAGGATGAAACTAGTCTACGTCCATTTAAACTTACGGTAAATAATCGATATTTATCAAAACGAGCTGCCTCATCTAAAATCGATCACTCGAAACGGATTTTAAAAACGGGAAAACAGCATTACAAACCCAGAGGAATCGGCGCACAGTGTAACGAGCCCTTGGAAAAGGTTGAGTATACACTTTATGACCAGGGCTGCGAACAAGGGGCGAGGGGTATAGCGATAAGGGCAAAAATTGGCCCAACCTTGAAATCTTGAGATTTGTCGAAATTTTGAGTTTGATAACGTATATTTTACAGAAACATTCGTGACGCGGGAAAACTCACACTTTTTAGCTTCAAGGGGGGACCTACATTTTATCGGAAAGCCAAATTCCATAAAAAGTCGGGATTTTTCACGTCAGATTTTATGACTGGCCCCACGGTGACCGTTGACCATGCATCTCCACATATTTATAATGACTCGAGTGGTCACAAAACACATATTTAAGCCTCTGTCACCTTAAGTCCCAGCATGAAATCTGGCGTAACAAACTAAAAAAAACTTGAATTTTCAAGGATTTTTGCATTTGAACCAAGATTTGGACCTCTATTTTGAAGCCAAGAAGTGTTAAATATTGTCGAGATACAATTGGACCACGTTTAGTAGAAAGAAACCAAGCCACATCAGCTGTTGCCATTTGACCGGGCAATTTAATTTCTACAAGATGACGTTCGTGCGGATTCTTTTGAAAATATTAAGGCATTTGCTTCGTGCTATGCAGAAAATTCACTGCAATTTGCGAAAAAATCCGAACAACCACTTTCATGTAAAACATTAAAGGGCCAATCAAATTTGGCAATAGATGATTTGGCTCGGTTTCTCTCTGCTCAACGCGGTTCAAAAGTCTCTGTAAAACATGCGTCATCAACTGCAAACTATCGAAATAAACTGAGAATCCCGGCAGTGAGCCGATTTTGGCTCGTATCACCAATCCTCCTATTGCGATGTCCATTTCGTCCCACTGTAAATTTCAAAGGTTTTTTTTTAGATAAAATTCAACGAAAAAATCAAAAGAGCCATCTTTAAACCTCAACGTATCATTGATGAAAAGATCACCTCTACAGTTCCCTCATCTTATCCGACCTTTCCCATCGACTCTCTCCACTGTGCGCCACTGCCATGGCGTAGCTTGCACCATCCTCTCGTAAACGAAGCAATTTACACGTCCATTGAAAAACTTTCCACATAGACCTGAGCATTTTTTCCCTCTCAGTGGGGTTGGAGCGCGAATTGATCCTCTTGCCTGCAGACGGAAAGAGCATTTTGAATTCAATCCTAAATCCACCCGTGGTCGACGGAATTAATTCTTTCGGACAGCCCACGCAGTAGCGAAGCTTGAATCATGGACCTCCAATACAATCCCATTTGAAACATCGATTATCAATGCCGACCCTGATAATCGATTCTTTGCCACAGATCCAGATGGCAAATCAATCGATTAACCTGCAACGAGGTGGCGAGGCGTGACATCAGCTATCGAGATCAGCTTTGAAGCTATGGTAAAGAATCGTCCGTCAAAGTCGGCAGTCGGCCCTAATGATCGATCTTTCGCCATAGGTGTAGGTAGGTGGCAGATGGATCGATTAGTCGCAAAGTGCGACGCGCCACTGAGCCCGAGGCAGGGTTCCGGACTGGGGGAAATAATATTTTCCAGCTGAATAGAGGTGTGGAGAGCGGACTTAGAGAGGGAAGCTTTTCCGGGGAGGTTATCTGTTTGGAAAGGAGCTCGAGAGAAACGAAACGAAACGAGGAAATGCTCGCTTTTACGCTGGACATTGTCCGGCGTGGTGAGCCTCTTCCGGCCACCGCTGAGCACTCAACCAACATATAATATGATAATTGCTCCTCGTCCTTTTTCCTCCTCGAATTATGGACTCCCGAAGCGGCTCTGTTTTTCCGTCAACGTATCGCCGCGACATCAATATGTCGCAGGCAATTAGCAATCGCCGGCAATTTACAAGCCAGTGGTGAATAAATATAGAAAATCATAAAATTCAAAAATAAAAGAACAATATTAGGGTGCTGATTATGTTACCTATAATGGAAATAGACACTTTCCCTTCCTTAAAAACATGACAGAAATATACACATTCAGAAGAGTGTGTAGTGAACTCCAGTGGCGTGGCGTGAATAATCGATTATCGATATCTCGCCACTTGAAACTATGGTAAAGAATCGATTACTAAGGTGTTCGCTGCGAACACCCTGATAATCGATCTTTTTTCATAGGTTTAAATGGCATAACAATCGATATATCGCAATTCACGCCACACCACTGGTGAACTCCGTGACAGGAGTTGAGTTGAGATCGTACAGGCCAGAGCGTCTTCTATTTTTATGTATGCA